TGGAGGAAGGTATTTATAGGGTCCCTATATTTATAGGGTCCGTGTATTACGTACAAATCCGAAACAGTAGATTACAAGGCTTCACAGCATGTGCTAACATTTTGATGGCTTCCCTTTGGTGAGATAATGCACCTTAAAGCATATTCTTTAAACTTTGGTTAAAACCGAGAGAAATTGAGAGCATTAGCAGGCATTCGAATCATAGAACCAGAAGGGACCTAGAGAGGCCATTGAGTCCAGTCCCCTGCCTAGCAAGTCTCTCATTGGGGAAACACTCGTTCCCAATAGCACCCACAAGTTTTCCTCTAAGTAGAGATGCAGTTGTGTTATCCGTTGTAAAGTCTAATGCAAGTGTGGCAGTGCATTGGAGGGGCTTTTACTGGGGATGTAAAGAAGTGACCCAATGGAATTCTTCTGTACATTCCTACCTCAGACCTTACCTGCCAGAACAAATTAGCAAGACAAAACAATATTCAACCTGTTAGATGGAAGTGTGCATCAGAGGAGACACTGCATTCAACATTCTTTCACATGCAGCTCCCTTTTCTCTTCATTTCTCCAATTACCCTGACAGGGTGTCATTAACTTGGTGATAGTTGTTACCACCAAAACCATTACTATTTTATTCAACATTGTTCAGATAGTCCTGTAAACATACATAGTGTTCTGCAGACATCAGCTAGACATGTGGCCCTTCCTGCCATGGAGAGATGAAAATCTATGGTCCTAGTTTATACAGCTTCTTCTTACCTTAACATAAAGCTGCTGTTAGAATATGGCTTACAAACATACATGTATAGGTTGAATACATCAGGTCTACTTGTCTTACAGAGCTTGTCCCATTTACTTCTGAAGTAGGGATATAAGCAGTTAACTGGTAAGCATCACCCTTTTATCCGGTGATGTTAACTGGTAGGCCAGGTGGGCTGGACCGGCCCTCTGCCTGACATGAGTGAGGGGCTACTCGGACCAGGCAGGGCCCATCATGCAGTGTTGCGTACTGGGGGCACTGCAGCCTGGCAGAAGCCACTACCTGACCACTGTGGCTTGGTGGGCCTGGTGTAGCCTGAGCAATCCCACCACCACTCACCAGCCTACCAGTGCAGTGAGCCTGGCGTGAGCAACCCTCTGCCTCTGTGCCGCAATGTTTATAACTGGTTAACCGATTAAACAAGATTTGACATCCCTGTTCTGAAGATAGTTTTTTGTGCTTTTCAAGGACCTTTGAGAGAGCTCAGCATATTGAGAATCCAACTGTGTTCTGCTTGCTCTTGGAGAACCAACAGAAGCAAGATAACAAACACGTTCTCATTTTTTTTTTAGATACAGCAAACAATAAAGCCTTTGCCAGGCTTTATACATCAGAAGTGCTCTATAATAGTGTAAAACTGTGGTGTAAAACAGCTATCTAGGCAGAGGTGTAATGGAAGAATTTTCTTGTCTATCCAAAATTGGAAGAACTTAAGAACTTGCAGCACCTTAGAAATGTAGATGGGTATAATGAGCTTTTGTGGGCACAAACCACTTCTTCAGATGAAACGTTGGAAGGAGAAAGCAAGCTTGGTCCTTTATTTTCTCTTTTAAAAACCTGCTGAGTATAGATTTAGTGGAAAATCAGGGGGTATGTTGTTGATGCATTGCTGATTCCAATGATGCCTTGTTTTCAGAGCCCTTATTTCTTTGTTCTCTGGATGAATTTTGTCCTGTAGACTTCAGTAAACTAATCCTTGTTGCTCTTCAACAGTAGGTGTTGCACATCAACAGGATAATTATTATAAGAGAATATTAGTCTCGGATGCTTGTTCTGATGTTTTCTACATTGCATTGAGTTGTTAAGCAAGTTGGCAATGGGTTTGGAATATATTTCTAGATGTCACTGAACTCATCATCAACTAGGAAAGGAATGTATGTTCATGTTATACCAAGCACTTGGAAAGTTACTCAGCTAAATAAGCCTGTGAGGGTGGGTGTGTGTGTGAGAGAGATTACACTCAAAATCATTTTTAGATGTACTTGTCATGGTTTAGCAGAGAAAAGAACTGATCTGCCATTTTAATGATGCATCATTACTCTTTATTTTCCAACAGCCAGTTTGAGATAAAGTAGGACTGGAAGAATTACCTTTACCATTAGCAAGTGAAGAAAATTAGAGGGCTGCAAAAATCATGTCCATTTTGAATTTTAGTTAGCATTAGTTAACAAGGTTAATAGCTACTAACTCAGATAGCAGTTAAGTTAATCAAAACTCAGTAATGCTTGCCTTCAGATTAGATCAAACATTCTGATTTCCCAGTGGTCATGAATGAAGCCAATTTTTCATTTACTTGTAAGTTCCAGGTCTTCAACATGACCACTATACCTGCATGAAGTCCTATAGAAGTCTCGGACTCAACAAACTTCAGGATTAGGGCCATGCTTTACATTATTAAATTGTCAAGCTGGTGGCATCTAGGTTTTTTCTGTTAATTATTGTTTTCTAAATTATCAGACAATTTAAAAATATTCTGTATGTATTTGGATTGGTTAGAATCTTAAATATTGCACTAGCATTTCCTTGAATGTTTGTTGTTAGACTAAAAGACCTTAATAAAATACTGTCCCCCTTTTAAAATAAGTCGACTTAATTTAAACTCACTGTGAGATGGCCAGGTGCCAGGGACTAGACCACACAACTACAGATGTTTAGATTAGATAAGGTTGGTAGTGGAAGGAAAGGGCTAACATTAGATTAAAAATATATATTTAAATAAAATGTCACCAATAAGCCATGCTGTCTTTGGAATGGGCTTCTTTCCCAAGGAATTGAGTTTTGAAAACATGTGCATTTTGTTTACACCTGATACCTTCTGCCTATCTAGTAGTTTAACTTTTTCCATTCCATCTGAACCTGAATGTGCTGTCAGCATGCAGGCCATTGGGGTAGTGGAATGAATTGGACCTTTGTGGGGTTTGAAATTATATGCAACAAAAGAGGTTTGAAACTCTCACAAAAACTATTGAATTTCAATTAATAGGCAAAACAAATTGGAACTGATGTACCATGTTACAGAAGAACTATAACTGCACCAGCTTGCAATAAACAGCTATTCTAGGAATTTGAGCCAGAGTTCGGCTCATCCTGTAAAAACAGGCATTGAGGCCCAGGGATGATGATGTCCAAACCACTTCACTTCCATTATCTTTAGTGGTTGCCAAGCAGTGCACCACCTCCCATTTAATTCTACTGTAGTTCTTGCCCCCAGCCAATAATATAGCTTGATAAATAAAAAGAGGAGCATGATGTATGCCCATCTTTCAGTTGTTAGAAATGAGTTGGGTTTTTTTGGCACATTAACCTGTACATTTAAATTAGTAAAAGATAAATAGGACTGAGTATAGACCCCTACTCCTCCTTAGTTGGTAAGACACCCAGTCTTGGCTTTAGGGGGATGTGTTGTTGCTTAAATATATGAGGTACCAATTCGAGATGTATGCAGTCAAGTCCAGCTTACAGTAGAGAAACTGACCATATCCCATCATTGATAAGATGAATTCATACGAACTGGTGCTATCAACATTAGGAGCAATGGCATAGACAGGATATTATAGGCTAATGTTGGGTTGCCAACTTTCTAATCACACAACTGCACTTGCTTAGCCCGTCCCAACCCTGCTCACTCTACACCCCCCTTGTGTCTCCATCGCTCACTCCCCCTCCCCCTCACTTACTTTCACTGGTCTGGGAAGGGGTTGAGGGCTCCTTCTGAGGGTGCAGACTCCAGGGTGGGGTCAGAAATGAGGGTTTCAAGGTGTGGGAGGGAGTTCTGGATTGGAGCAGGACTTTGCAGTACAGGAGGGAGTTCTAGCTGTATCTAAAGGGATTTGGAGTGTGGGAATGATTAGAGCCCTGAAAATCTGCAGCTATCCCCTTTATATCCACAGGTATCCACAGCCGCAGATGTGGAAATGCGTGGGTCATTTTTGTGGCTATGGATGCAGATGGGCATACAAATTTTGTATCTAGAGCTCTGCAGGTTTAGATATCCACAGGTATCCTCATCTGTGGCTGTCAATGTGTATATCCATGGCTCATGTTTGTGAATACGTTTTTGTATCCACGCAGAGCCCTAGGAATGGGTTCAGGGTTGGGGTGCAGGAGAGGATGCGGGCTCTGGGTGGGGATGTGGGCTCTGGAATGAAGTTAGGGTGTGGGAGGCAAGGGTTGAGGTATGAGAAGGTGCTTGGGGTGCAGACTCAAGATGGGTGGTGCTTACCTCTTGGGACTCCCAGTTGATAGCAAACCAGGGCTAAGGCAGGCACCCTGGATCCTATGTGGCCAACAGGTGCCACCCTCCACTGCTCTGGGCTGTGGCTCCCTGCCAGTAGGAGCTGTGGACCCAGCTCTTGTGGTGGATGCAGTACACAGAGTTTCCCTATCACCCCTGTGGGCAACAAGCCACAGGGACATGCTGCTTCCAGGAGCCACACAGAGCAAGGGCAGGCAAGGAACCTGCTGTATCCCTGCTGGACTGCCGACCAGACTTTTAACAGGCTAGTCAGTGATTCTGATTGGAGCCACCACTGTCCCTTTTCAACCAGGGAACTCTTTGCTTACGTTGTTTTTGTTACTATTTCATATTAGCCTGCTGGGTACAGCAGCCTGAAAATCTTATCGGCTGTTGGGGAAGGTTCCTAACCACAAGCATCTGGATG